AACCAGGGATCTCTAAAAGAGAGCGGTGCAAAGAGAGCCAGAGCGGAATAGGAAAAAACCCATTTCGGGGGAGTATACAGGTAGAAAACTATCGACTATTTACCATCCACTTGCAGTGCTCAGAATAAAAATAATAACATCGTAACTCTTATAATACCTCCCTCTATCTGATTCTCTTCCTAGGTCTTTTGAGTTCCTGAAGTCTGACTGAAATCGTTGTTTAAATAAAACCCATTTTTTAGGTAAAGCAAAATTGAAATTTTACATATTTTTTTCTTTTAACTTGAAATTTCCTTTCCAATTTATTTACACATAACTTCCTTAGCTATCTTTCAAAATTGAGTATTTATTTATTATCCATTTCGCTAGCGTTACATGCAATTCAGCAATTAACAATATTTTAATAAGCTTTTTAAATCGGTGTTTACCGATGGTTTTAAACTATCATAGTGCAATATTGCAAAGCAACTCAGTATTAATCTTTTGCAGTCTGGTCGATTGCTGACCACAGACACTGTCCACTTAATTTCCGTTTGCCGTTTACCAATTTTTATTTAATTTCCGTTCAAGAGGCACTCGCTACTGGGTCGGCAATTAAGAGACTGGGCCAATTAAAACTGCACAGGGGAACGAACACAGTCGGTTGTAGATTGTCATCTCAGTTGATCTCAGATAATCATATAAACTGTTATAAAAGTATGCTTCGATATATTTTGAAGAAAAAGAAGTTATTATTTATGCAACAAGGAAAAATAAATATTATATAAGTTGTTAATAAGTGTGGGGATTTTCATCACCTTATTGTTAATACTTTTTTTATTGATATCTATATATAATATATTTTTGGACGACTCGTTGTACTTAAGTAAGATTTTATTAATTTAAAAACTCAAATATTAAGTTTTTAAAAATCTTTTTGGATGTATTTTTTGAGTGGGGATGTGCCCCATCCTATGAATATTATCTTGGTTTACCTTTTTGGCTCAAGTTTCGTTTGTTTTCGTTGCTCATACGCTGCCTGGCGATCCCACGAAAAGGCACAGGCTAATGACGAACGAAGGCAGGAGGAGAAGGAGGAGGATAAAGAGAGAATGGTGTGGAAAGAGAAGGGCCAACAGGTAACAAGTAAAGATAGAGAAGAGACACAATCACACACAAACGCACACCTACGTAAGCTCGGCAAACAAAAGCAAAACAAAACCAAGAGGCAAACAAAACGTTGATTGCTTGATTTACCTGCGAAAGAGAGAGAGAGAGGGAGAGAGAGAGAGAGAGAGTAAGAGGGAGAAAGAGGATGAAAAAGAGGAGAAGAGAGGCTCCAAAGATACAGATAGAAGCATCCTCCAAAGATACAAAGATACAATCAACACACTTGAGCTTGAGTGTAAGTGTGTGAGTGTGCGCATCCACATTTATTTAGATATCTCATATATATGTATGTATATGTATCCAACCCAGATGCCCAGAGTTATTATAACGGATTTATCTCAAGTTACAAGCTTGTGTGTTTGCTTGTGTGCCACACATGGCAACACAAATATGATTTTGTTTGTAGAACATTCTTCCAACTTTTTTATGCGCTTTACTTTTTTGGTTTGTTGCTCTACAAATACATAGCTCGCAAGTCCTTCTAGCCCTTGGCTCTTCTTCTTTTCTCTTCTAACTCACTGGCTTTACACTACAGTTGAACATCGATAAATAACTTTCGGCTAAATTGGGTTTAGAGTTTTCAAAAATATTTCCTATTTTATATGTATTGGCTTAACATATTTAAACAACATTTCGTATTAATATATGGAAAAAAAGGATTAAATAGAAATATTTGACATAATTTTAAGATATAACGACAAAAGCATTTTACTTTTACACTTTTTATATATCTTCTTGAGAGCTGGAATGCTTGGAAAATTTGATTTAGGGAAACTAGACTGTATTGCGAAGACCTTTTTGCTGTTGTTGTTACATATAGACCATTATTTTTGTTGTTGCCAAGGCCTGCCTCATAACGACAGGAAATTAATGATTTAATTACATTTTTGGGTAGACTGCTGAGCAAGGGAGATGGCCATAGACATACAGAGAAACAGAGACAAAGCGAGAGATTAGTTAATGGCGGCACCTTTAATTGATTTTCCTTTACTCCCATGGGAAAGTGACCAGCTTGGTAGCTCCTCTTTCGCTTTCCCTCTCCAAAACAAACCCCCTCTTTTTATCTAATTCCCAAAGCCAAGCCCTACCTCAACGAAGTCACAGAAAAGGCACAGCTAAATTCGAAAAGCACAACAAGCGAACTCCAGAAAAAATGCTGCGCATGCGCGTGCCTAGAATTTTTAAACCCAGTCCCGATTCCGCGATCCCAAGTCTGAGGTCTCCAAAGTCCAAACAAGAAACCGCAGATACAAAACATGGCTCGCATGCCAAAGAAGAATGGGACGGAATTCACTAGTCGTCTGGTAAATTTTTACAGTTTTAGCAGCACTGTTTGTTAATCATTGGGGCAATTCGTAAATATTTAATAGATTTTCTCGTTAAAAGCTTTCCCTATGTATTAAAAGTAAAATTTATATATGTATATATATATATGTTTTGTATCTTCATTTTAATTTCGTTCAAATTTGTTTCAGAATCCCAATATCTAATATAACCAAAAATATTTAAGTAATCATTAGAAACCAGATAAATAAAATTTTAGCTTTGGAAATATCACTAAGAACTTTTTAAATCTGCTCACTCACATAGTAAAGACATGAAAACAGAAAGCGAATCTAATTCAATTTCAGAAAACCCCACCTCTACTTGACTTTCCCATTTAACCAAACAAAAAGCCGAGAAAGAGAAATGTCATCGAGCATTGATTGTTGTCAGCCGATGTCCATGTCGATGTCAAGATGAGTGGATATAGCAGGGAGGGGGTACGGATCAGATTTGAGGGTTCCAGAGGGGAGTACGTACATCAGTGTGACAGTTTGGCAGGCAGCATAAATGCACAGCACACAACTACAACTCGTAGATAATGCACATCAAGTGCAACGCATCGTCGTATCAAGTGTCGTGAGCAGGGGCGACTCAAAAAAAAAGGGAGGCTTTAAAAGTTGTACATTTTTTATGATTCGTAACTTAATTGGATTTGCAGGTGAATGTAACTTGTAATTTTTGTTTGGCTTAATTTGGGGCCACTTTGAAATAAATAATTTCAATAAATTCTCGAAGTACAAAGTCTTAATTTGAAGAGTTCAATTTGATGTGGTGAATTGATTTTTTTTATCCTTTTAAAACTTTGAAGTTCATAGATTACAGGCCATACATACATTAAACTTAACATGGTGTGTGGAAAAGTGTTCAAATATAACCATTATTGTTGCATATTGTTTCCTGTTTAATGATAGACCCCTTTTTTGGCGCGCCACTGGCCATCATCATCATGGTCATCGGCAAAGTTTGCGGGCTGTCACTGTCTGCAACAGATTAGTCAGCAGGTTTTCAATTGTGGACTACGGGCACCGAAAGAGGACACCGAGGCCATAGAGCGAGACAGGGGGAGGAGTCATCGTGGACTGACACTGACCACAAACTGACCCGCAAAACGGCGACCTCATCGGCCTAATTGCTACATATATATATATTCCGTATTAATGGCCACAAAACTGTGCAATCGCCGCCAAACTGCCAACGCTCTGGCGGCAGCCAAGAACGGAAAAATCGATTAAAAATGTATAAATATTCATCGCCGGGCGAGGAAAATAACTCGTTAATTAATAATGAGCATAAAATGAAAGCGCACGTGCTAAAATGGGGTGGTGGATGTTTTGTGACGGGGATAAAAGGTTTCTGGATTGACTTACGCGCATACCTACAGTGTGGGCGAAAAATTAACAGCATAACAATTAAAAAAAAAATAAAATCAAATAAAATCTAAACTATTCGTCATTTTAGTAAGTTTATCTTTTACATGAAAACCCTTGTAGTTTTAAGAAAAAATCAACCTCTATTAGGTTTAATTTGACCAATGATTAGAAGTGGTATCATGTTTCTGGCAAATGTTGCTTATCCTTTAATATTTTAACTTCAACAAGATAATTTTTTAAACAAACCCTGCTATTTTTATATATATTCCCGCCGCCGTTTAATCATAGTTAGTCGCTACAGGCGAAATCACAACAGGTTCGTTTGGCAAGGTCGAACGAGGGGGAGTTGAATAGTGCCAAAACGATAGGGACAAAGTGCGAGCACTGGGAAAAATGTGTGAAAAGTGTCAGCAATGGCCAAGGGCGGAGCGCGAATAAGGATGCGGATGCGAATGCGGAGCTGCTGCGATCCAGCCAGGTGGAAAACCCAGCGAGCAGAGCGAGTAAATAAATAAGCAGTCATAAAAACTCAGCTAGCGCAGTGTGTCAGTGCATTTGGGTGTGTGTGTGAGTCACATGTTGGGTATTTCCGCAGCGCGAAAAATTCCATTTTAGCCGAAGGGCCTTTCCTGTGGACCAGTAGAAGAAAAAAAAATAAAAATGAGCGGCTAGGAGCGGTAATAAATGCTTTACAAAATGCAAACACAGATCCACAAACACGCTCGCAGTGTTGGTCAAATAAATCAGCAGACAAACGAACAAATTCAAGTTTGAGAAGCACTGTGCCGGGAAAGCGCCTGCATGGTAGACTATATAAGTTTCCACATTGAACAATAAGCAAGCACGCAATGACTTGAAAGCTGCAAGTCTTAATTACACTTTTTAAGTTACTTTAGAAATAAGAGCCCGTTTCGATTAATATCAATGTGTTAAAAAATACTGTTTTCTTTGAATCCCAATTGAAAATCAATAAAAATATCAATGTCTTTACTAGCAACTTTAAATATATCTAACTAAACCTATTCTCTTAAAAATAAATTCTTCTGTGACATTTAGAGTTTTCAATAAATAATATATATTTATAAATTTGTATAATAATATTTATTTATAATATATATTTATAATATTTATATATAATATAAGAGGGAAACTTACCCTCTGGGATCCTGTCGTAGACTCTGATCGCCCAGTAAAAGTTCAGTTCTTCCTATTGATATGCTACTTGTGGGACTGTTCTGCTGCTGCTGTTGCAGTTGCAATTGCTGTTGCTGCAACTCGTAGGCGGCACTCAGCAACTGATGTTGCTGCTGTGATCTGTTGCTACTACTGGCGATTGCTGCTGTTGCACTCGTGCCGTATGAATGGACATCACTGGCTTGATGGACTATGACGTCTTCTAGTAACTGTGGAGGAGAAACAAAATACAATTTTATTATTTATTGAGTTGGGATGAGCAAACTTAAGGAAATCAAAAGTGAAAAATAGTGAAAAATTGATTTTATTAATTAAAGTATTTCAAAGTTAATTCCAAAAAGAGTAAAATCAATTTAAAAGCAACTTCGTGCAAACCCAATTAAAATAAATATTTCACATTTCAGGGAACACATTATTTGAAGATAGTATTATCTATATACTAGCTCAATCAATTTATGACTTGCATTCCCAATAAATTTTAAAGTTGCTTAAAATCAACAGAAACTGTTATTAAATAAATTCCTCGACAAATCTAATGAATGAAATACGAAATCCGAAAAAAGGAATATTTGAATAACAAAGTTTGAATTTTCCTTGAGGTAAATTAAAAACAAAGGATGAACCAAACTGAGACAAATTTATTTAATATACCAATTAAATAAATTCGTTGATAAAATTCAAAACCATAAACACAATCTATAGACGAAATAAAATAAAATTCTTGACAAATCTAATGAATGAAAGATAAATTGCAAAAAAAATCTCATTTTTTCGAATTTTCCTCAAAATGAATTGAAACCAAAGGAGAAACCAATAGGAGACAACCTGTGAATTGATATGTCAATTTAATAAATTCCTTAGCAAATATCTAAATTTCTAAATAGAATTTCACGAAACCAAAGAAGCGAAACTGAATTAAATTCCTTGAATTGCATTCTTTTGAATGCAACAAAAGAAATCTTTAAAATGTAACGAAAATAAATTCAGTCAGTAAGGCAAAATTTTAATATGACAAAAAACCTTGGCAATAAATGAAAACTCTGTATTTTGGCTACAAACAAATTCACCTCTCTTCTCGGTGGATACAGATTGTTCGATATCAGTAGATCACAATTCTTCATCAGAGATGCCGTTGTTTGTGCCGCTGCCATTGAATTATTGCTATTATTGTTGTTGCTTAAAAGTAAATGTTGCTGCTGCTGTTGCTGCTGTGTGGCATTGTTGTTGCTGGAGTGCAGCTGCAATTCGGCAAAGGCCTGCTGCAACTGGCCACTGGAAATGGCCGTGGAGTACTCCGTTTTCGGGGTGGTGGTGCCATGGACATGCCGCTCCAGCTCGCAGCTGGCCATCAGCGGTGACGTGGATGTCTGGGCATCCACGAAGCTGGGATTCACCGGACCGCCGAGTTGCAGTGGTGCCGGTGCCGTGGCGCGATTGATTTGGTGGCAACCAATGGCTCCGGCACCGCCTGGGTGAATCTGATGGATCGGGTGGTGGTGGTGGTGCTGCTGCTGCTGCTGCTGTTGCTGCTGCTGCCTCTGTTGGTGGATCGCTGCGGTGGTGGCCAATGTGGCAGCTGCCGCTGGCAAAGCGGTGGTGGCCGGCAACGTGGTCGTTGGCAACTGGGCATGCTTGTTGTTGTAGCTGATGTAGGTGATGCCACAATAGTTGGCCCCATCGACGTCGTCGTCGTCATCGATGTCCTCGTTGTCCACCTCCTCGGCGAGATGTTGCAAGCTGCTGGCCAGCAAGGACTTGGCCTGCAGTGGTTTACCCGCCGCTGCCGCAGCTGCAAGTTGCTGCTGCAGCTGTTGCAACTGCTGCTGCTGCGCCTGACTGGTCTGGTAAATGTGCCCCGTGGCACAGCTAGTGGAGCTGCTGGTGGTGCTGGTGATGCTGGTGGTAGTGGCGGTGCTGGCCGAACTATTCCCCATTACAGTCTGTTTCAAAGCCGCCGAGGTGGTATTGTTCGCATTCCGATCGGCGGCAGTTGCAGCCGCCACTGCGGCACTAACCAACGCCGACGCTGCCCCATGCTCGATCTGAGCCACCACAGTGGTGGTGTGCGACGATGCCGTGGGCACCGTCGTGGTGGCCGTCGTCGGAGCCAAGGATGGTGCACTTATCGGTCCGCCCGCGGTGGCCGTCGTCATCGTGGAGCTGCTGCAGGTGATTTGGTTGCTGGTGAAGGACGTCACATAGATCGGCGTCGACTCGTTCAGGAAACTAAGGTCCTGCCGCTGGCTCGTTGTCGTACCGCTCTTCGTTTGCTGCAGCTATCCATTGATAAAGTCAATAAAACAACGAGGCAGAGCAAAGGTGTTGAATTGTAATCAATTGTCACGCATTTATTAATGCTAATCGAAGGTGCTTACAGATATAAATTAAAATGAGCACGAAAAAATAAATAATTAGATATGTAGTTTTATTTGTTTTTATTTTGTGTAAACCACCACGTATAACCATTATTTAACTCTGTTTCAAATTTGTTTTGCTCAATTTCACATTATACGAAATTAAATAGCATGCTGTCAATATAAAAATGTTTTTTTTGGTTCAGACTGTCAGTAAAATTTTGTTGCCAAATATATCAGCATTAATCTTTGGCATTGCATCATATATATATGACAAAATTGTATTAAAGAATACAAATAGATATTCTACAAAAACAAACATGTTTTTTTTTTGGTTTTTAAAAGGTCGAAAACGGTGCCAAGTAAATCAGCATTATACTATTGGCAAATGCATTCTTTTAAATGACATTTTGCTCTGCATAATAATAATAATCAATAAAATCAACCAAATAAAATTAAAAAATACGAATAATAACAACCAACAGCTTGGCAAACTTTTTGCACTTTGCTCTGTGGCAGCATAGCCGAAAAATAAATAAAACTGAAAACTGTCATCATTTAACGCCGCTGACAGGCTTTATTTCGCATATATGCAAATCAATCAAATTCCATTAAAATAAAGCTAACCAAGTAACGCCCTCAGTACCCGTACCCCCCACCACTGCCACACCCCTCCGCCAGAAAGCCATGGATATATTGATGCTGTTCCCCTAATGAAATATGAATTATTAATGCGACGAACACATAATGGATGTGTGGCTGGTCTGAGCGACGTGTGTGTGTGTGTGTGTGTGTGTGTGGGTGTGTCTGCGTCTGGGCCAGGTATTTTTGTATGTGGGTGGCCAAAAACCCACTGAGCTGCACCCACAATCTGCAATCCACAACCAGAACCCCATTCCAGTGCCTGTCAAACCGCCTTTCCACCCTCCACCCTCCCCCTCAGAAATCAGCCAATTAAGACGCCTTTAGGCCTTCATTCTAGCCAATCCAATTGGCCTTAACCTTCTTCTACAGGTTAAGTCGCGCCCTAATGCCAATAGCTAAGTGTCAGGTTAAAAAAAAAAAAGTGAAAAAAAATGAACAAGTTGAATTATGGGGCCCTTTTGATGCAATTACCTGAGGATGAGAAGCCTAAGTTGTGGGACAAGGGAACAAACCTACTATGTAGGGGGGATCTCTCTTAACGCTTGTGGCCCATTTTCACTTCATTCGCTATGGTATATATCATTTTTTTATTTCTACTAGTAACCGCCCAGAATCACCCATCCGCCGTGAGCGTATTTTTTGTTCGCATTTTATCGGATTATTGACAGCCAAGTCGGTTTGTCAGTCTATCGCATCGGCTTGTGGATTCTCGATGGCGAAGTGAAGTGACGTGGCTTCAGTCGCAGCTTCAGTTCCCAGTTCCCACATACCGTATACCATCTCCCAATCGCCCATCATGCCCAGTAACCCTCACTCCCACGCACTTCAACACTTATCGGATAAATCGATGCATATATACACGGTTAAAAATGATTTTGTTATCGAATATTAAATTCTTCAAGTCAATACCCAATCTAATTCTATCTAAGGGTTATATAAAGATTTTTTGCTAAAATTGCCCACTAATTAAATTTGTTCAGCTTTCAATTCTAATTGATTTTAATTTTACGACGAATGCTATTTATAATGTACAAATTTTCAGTTTACGTTTACATGGTGTATCGACTATATCCTTTGGGTTAAACAATAGTTGGCGAATGCAATAAAACCTAGTTAAATAAAGTATTTGTCATAGTTTTTTTTTTGGGTAAATAGTTATTTTTGCCCGATCAATTCTCATTTTATTTTGCATTTTTTGTTGAAGTGCTCAGTGTACTTGATATGCATATTCACGTTTGTTTGTGTATGCAAAATCATTTGTTCGGTTGGCCTGGCAACAAACGATTGACTCACTGTTCTCGATAAGGCCCCGCAGCGGCACTCTACCGCATCCTAGACAAAAAAAAAAAAAAAAAAAAAAAAAAAAAAAAAAAAAAAAAAAAAAAACGGCCCCACCCACAATTCACGATTCACGACCATTCCATGTGCCCACTCCCGACGGAGTAGCCCGGCCCAGCCCAGACCAGATTCCCCGATACCCAGATCCGTACCAAAGAGAGCCCAGTAGAACCGCACCTGACCCCCATCCAATCCAGTCAACGTCCGGAGAACTGAAAGCAATTGTTGGAGCGTTCAACTGTGATGACGATGATGACAAAAGCACTTGATGCGCTTAAAATTGCTAAAAGTGTGCGGAGGGTAAGGGTTTTGGGGGAAAGGCATAGGGATAGGGATTGGGATTGGAGAAGCTCTTGATGCGGGATTATGCGTGGAATACCATCCATCCATACCTCCGATTGACTCTCAAACTCCGCGATTTACCATTTAAACCAATTGTGAGCCCAATGAGTGAGTGACCAAAAGTCAGTGGGCACAAAAAGTGCACTCAATTCAATCACTTTTGGAACCACCCACCCACCAGAAGAGAATGCCCTTATTGTAATGTAACGATTTTAATTTTCAAATTAAATAAAGTTACCTTTTTACTCTTTGTGCTGGATAGCTGGCTGTGCTCATTGTTGGTTTATGATGCCAACACAATAGCAAACAAATAGGTAAAAAGCATTCTTATTTCCAAGAATGAGAAATGATTTATTAATATAGAAATAGGTATGGAAGTAAGTTATTGCCATCAAAGTGAAACAGTAACAATATACACAAATCAATGAAAACCCACCAAAGCGTGTACATGTAATCGACGTAATTTGCATTCAAATGATTCGCCATAAGTCATTTCATTCATCGCGATCTTTTGTGTTTAAACTGTAAACGCAACGAAACTGTTAATACGTAAAGTGAATAGCTAATGTGTTTATTCACCGACATTTTTCGCTGGCCAACATATATAATACTAAAAAAAACAAGTCTACACGGGAAAAAATAACCTTTACTTTAATTTATTTAAACTAAAGGTTTTTCTTAAACTTTTGGTGGTTCAAATACTAAAGACATTATGCAATATATATATAATCTTAAATTTCATGTGTAAAAAGAATTAACAATGTTAATGTAATATTCACAATCTATAACTTCTCTGTGCAAAAAGTTTATACTTTACGCTTAATTTTCTTCAATGAATATTGATATGAGATAAGTATTTAGTAATTCCTATAAAACAACATTTCAAATCTATATTGAATATTTTTGATTCTATTCAAACTTTCTAAAAATTTCTATGCACGTGTATGTATTTTTTTTCATTGTAGCTAATCTCAGGGATCGCTGTTGTATAACTTTGAAGTGCAAATCGCTTTATTAGTCCCAAATGAATATACTCACTCTTGAGCTCGCACATGCAAATGGGATTGCAGCGTTCACTTTCAATTACCCACATATTTGATTTGCATTTACTCGTTTTTTCTCGGCTGCTGGATTTATTTTTATTTTATTTTTTTTTTTTTCTTTAGTTTTCGTTTTTTTTTCTCTGTTTTGCGTAACTTTTGAAGGCAATTTTATTTTGCTTTTGTTTTCAAGTTTATACAACGTTTGTTTTGAGCTTTTCTTTGTGTTATTCACTTTTTACTTTAGTTTGTTGTGTGTCTGTTTTTGTATCCACTTTTAGTTTCAGTCTACTGGCTCGTGTTGGGTTTGTTGAATTTTTAATTGAATTTTGTGAGCGCATACTTCCTCATTTTTTGCATTTTGCATTTGGTATTTGGTATTTGGGAGGGGCCGCCTCCAGTTGGTCACTGGTCATTCAGTTATGTCTGCGCCGTGTGTTATAGAAAGCTGTTTTCATAAAACGTTTTCCAATTCAATTTCAGTTTGCCGTCCAATTCGGGCCAAACACACAGCCTGCAATCAAATACCTTGCATTCATGTGTGCTTCACTGCCACATGTCGCACAAAAAAACAAAAAAAAACACACAAAAAACACAAAAATAAATAAAAATACAGCGTAGCACTTTCCGGGAAATCCACCACCACCCGTTTTACCTTTTCATTCATCGAATATAGACTTCCACCAGACGAATAAATAACCTTAAAATAGCATTGCAAATTTTTTAATAAACAAAACCGACAAAGCTAGGTTTTTCGCCCAATACTTACAAACTACTTCCCAATATAGTCACCTCATTGTTAAAAGGCAATAGCTTACATTACCTGTTAAAATAATGAAGCACGTTATATTAATAGTCATTGGGTGCTTCAGTAAATTTTTATTTAAATCACTTAATTTAATAGTTGCAGGTGCATGTGTATTTTCTAAACTACGCTTCAAGTACAGCGAAAAACATGAAGCAAGTTGCTTTACTGACATCTGTCAGTAAAACTCTTGAAAAATACGAGGAAATGGAACTAAACTGTAAAGAAACTAGCTAGGATTCTACTAAAAGCTTCCCAGAAAAACAGTGTAGGAATCTTAAAGTGAAGTACTTCCTTGGCAAAAGTGCATTGATGGAAAGCATTTCTTTGGAAAAGCCCAACCAGAAAGTCGAATATGTTATTTTTTGTCAGACAACAAACTTAAACCATTGTGTAACAGAACAAAACACCTAGAAAATTCACTGGAAACCAGAAAGTATACCCAAGAAAGCCCCTTTTTAAGATAAATGTATTTAAACTTCTTGGTAAAGCGAAAATATAGCCAAGTAGTTTTGCAATATACCTTCCGGGTAAAGGAAATATAAATAAACGGTTTATATTAAGTCATTTAATTTAGTCATTTAAATGCCTTAAAAATATCGTTTAAAACTCGCTAAAAATGGCATTTGACTCTTGGGTACAGCGAAAATATAGCCAAGTAGTTTGCAAATGTAAAGCCATAACCCAAATGGGGGCACTCACCTTCTTGGACAGCTGGGTGATGTCGACGGGCGTGACCCGGTTCAAGGCCGCCAATCTTTGCAGACGCTCGCGGGCGTGCTCCTCGACGGCGATGACGAAGGCGTCCTGCACCGAGTTGCCAATATCCCAGGCTGCAAAAAAAGAGACAAGTGGTCGGAATTATAATTAATTCAGGCACATTAAACATTTAGCAGGCAGATGATAAAGTACGGGGTTGTGATCTGCCAAGCAGAAAGACCCCCGAAATCGATAGTTGATTCAGACTGGTGACTGGTTGATGGAATACCACACACACAAACGAGGCACATAAATCATAGTTATAAAAGAGTCTTAAAAAAAACACACTGTAACTTTGTTTGAGTGATTTATTTTTACATATTTGCAATAAAATTGGATAGCTTTTAAATAACAATTGATTGCTTTATAACTTAATGCCAGTTGTAAAATACCGAAAGGTGGCGAAGAAATTACATTAAATATTCTGGTAACAAAAGCTGCTGGTTTATTAAATTACAACAAAATAAAAAACTAATTAGTTAGTTAGATGTTTCTTCAGTAATTAATTTTTGAATCTATTGACAAAAGCCGTAGTGACCTAAGCCATAATTTGCCCCCTGATCATCAGACAGACAGACATCATTTCGGTTTCAGTACTTTCGGCATTCCCCAAACGCTCATTCGCTGCATTCACGGCTCTCTAAACGAATCGTTCGATACGTATACGTACTCATGGGTGCATTCATGGGCCACAAAATGCTGCCGTTGGGGAATCGTTTTATATGCCTGCGAATCAGCAAAGCGTGTGTTTTTGTTTGCCGTTTGTTGCGAGGGAGACGAGAAAAGTTTTGCTAAAAATTTGCTGGTTGCTGACAGCAACGACAACACGAATTCGACTACCCCACTTCCGACGCCAAATCCACTTTCTCCAACAGCCAGCCAGCTACTAGCTGCTAGCTGCTAGCTGCTAGCTCCTTGTCCTTATCCTTCTGCGTCGCCCACTCGGAGCTTCAACTTTTCTTGTCACTTTTATTGCTTTTTTAGGCTGCACTCCCTTCGAGCACCCTACCCACTAAGCACCGAGCACCGAGCACCGAGCACTGAGCACTGAGCCACCTCCTCGTCGTGACCTCGGCTTTAATTTCATTTCGCTGCCCTTGCGTTTTCGGCTGTTGATTGCGTCGAAAAGCGGTGGGCGGTGGGTATTAGTGGGGGCGTTGGGTGGCTTAAGACGCCCTCGATCCGAGGACGCATCCCCCAACCCCGTAACCCTCATCGTCATCATCCACCCCCTACCCCTTGGCCCCTGGCTGCCTTATCCCATATCCCCCCCCCACTCGAGCGTGCCCGGGCAAAAGTGGAGCGCTCGGGCCAGATCCAATTAGGCGCCGCGTTGTCAGCCTCGATGTTGCAAACATGTCGTTGAACCTACCGCCCCCTCAGTCCATCCTGCACTTGAAAATATTACTGGTTCAGTTAAATATATCAATAGACTAATCAGACAATGAAAATTATTTTATTTTAATTAATGGAAAATACTTTCGACGTTTTACAAAGGTTAAGAAATTATGAAACTAAAACCAATATATTTGCTCTTATATTTGAGGAGTTTATAATTATAAATCCAATTTTTGGCCAATTAAAAAATTCGTATCAAGAAAAAACCTTTAAAAAATGTAAATTAAATGCGAGCTTATACCATTCATTGCAAAATAAAATGATGAAAGTAAAATAACAACTTTTTGACATGATCAACATTCATTAATATTATACATTTCTTTGATATCGAAATTAAGAATGATATATAAAACGCCCTGTTTTCATTTTATGTTTTAATACAGAGATTCTATATTTTGGATTTAAACTAAATAGATTTTAGTTTTGATTCTCGAAGATCCAATAAATAAATTCATAGCCAAGGATAAATGTGCATAAATACTTTCAGCTTTAATCCTATTTTGGTGGAAATTTTTCGCAGAGTGTATGGGCATGCATGAACAGCATGTGGATGAAGGGTTACTGCGGGGGCGTTTTTTTGCGAGTTGGAGCAACTACCGTGCGTTTTCCGAGCTCCAAGTTTCTGACTTTTAATCTCATTTGTGCGCGCGTGTGCGTGTCTGTGTCTGTGACCCTGTGCCAGTCCCTGTCAGTGTGTTGGTGTGTTGGTGTGTTGGTGTGAGGGTGTCCATGTCTGTGTGCCTTGCGTTTGTGTCACTCATTTCCGCGACCCCGCCCCCTTTTCGGCACGCCGCCCTGGTCGGCATTCCTCTCATAAGTCTTGACAAGCCGTATCAGTCGAGCGCCTCTTCAAGTCCGGACAATTGGGATTCCCAATTGAGTTCATGTCCGCCCGGAGAAAGTGTGGGGGGCAAAAGCAGAAAAAGGGTCGGATTGGAGGGGTGCGGGGTACCGGGGGTGTTCTTACTAAAGGGCGAACAACGAACAGCGCCCCTTTGTCACATGCAAATGTTGGTAATCGAGTAGCAAGCTGTTGACGAAGCCCATCGCAGGTGTCCGTTATTGTCCGTCCGGTTTTTTCCGTCCGGAGACTGTTGCCCATAGTCTGTGGCCCGTTGTCCGTAGTCTGTTGTACCGTTGTCCGTTGTCCGTGTCCGATGTCCGCCATTTGTTGTTCCATGAGCACGTTGCTCTCTGTTGTATCGAGTGTTTGTGCAATATTATTAACCTTAATTAGTCATTAATAGTTCTTGCAGCCCAAAGATGACAGGTGAGGCCAAAGCGAAAGGGTAAGACAAGGGTATACTCGACATGACGAATAGTTTAAGCTGGTATTTAAGTTTTTGCCAATCATAAGCCGAACATTTCAAATAATATATTTATATATATTTAATATGAGTCTATAAATAATAATAATGAGTCTATAATTAATTAAATAACTAACTCACTTTGCAAATAATGTTTAATGTTTAAACCCTTTTTGTAAAACGAACTGACATTTTACCTTGTTTCGTGTCTAGTTTATTTGCAAATAAAAAAGGGATTGTGCGTTGGCACATTGGTGTTTGTCGGTTTAAAGAGTGCATAAACTATTTCAACAAAGGGCTGTTGTTCAGTCATCAACTTATAGATGCTCCTGCAACGAGTGGTAGGGGTGTTATCTTTTATTGGGTGCTCTATTAGGTCAATAAACCCTTATCGCCGCCTTAATTATCTGAAATCTGTGTGCTAGCTTGTGCTCTATTGGATTGTGTCTAAACTAAATAAACTACATTTATTTACAATTTTTTTATTTTAAGTTTAAAATATTAAAATTAATATTTTTTTGGATTTAAAACTTTTCTTTGTTTTTTACGGTCTGGGAAAACGAATCTTTTCTGCCTGTGATTAGCTATATTTTTGCTTTTAGAGGACATCCCCTTGTCGAGTTTCCGATTTTAAAGCGAGTTTCTTGTTACTCTGCTCGTGTGGCACTTCACACATTTCAAGAGGAGTCGTCGGCGGAGATGGGGGAAAAACTTCTCCATTTAATGGGTCTGCCCTGGAATCTTGAATCACACTGGCGAATTGAAAAGTCGGGGATGGAAAGATGGGGATGGAATAGGAGAAGCGGAAGGAAAAGGAGAAGGAGGGGGAGAAGGAGGAGGGCTTTAATTGCCCGCAAGCAAATCGATAAACAATAAACCAAAGTGCACTCAAATTGCAGAAACCACGTGAGAAGTGCCTGCAACATACGGCAACCGATGGCAACCAAAAGCAACAACAAAAGCAACGACATCGACATCACAAGTACGACAATACGAAGGGTGCAAAACTAGCCGCCAACTTCCTGGGCTTCCAATGGTTACCAAACGGCAGGTGGAATCAGCGGAATAAGCGCAATCGATGGATTTCAAGCTCCAACCGCAAATCGGATTCTACGAAATTTTCCTGCGGATTGGATGTGTATTTCACTTATTTCGGCATCAATTAAATGACATCGATGGTCAAAGTTTCAGTTCGATCTTAGGGGCATGCATATGTTACCGTGATAAAAGTCATTTCAAATTAATTGTAAACTCTTTTTTTGCATTAAATTGTTGCTTATGATTGTTTGATGTACCTATTATATTTTTTTAAGTGGTAAACACCAACCTTATTGAATCTTCGATGAAGGCCAGGAAAAAACTGCAAAATGTTTGCAATTGTTTGTGTATATTTAATTCAGCATTTGTTGCTTACTGTTGGCCCTGCCCTTGAACCACACAAAATAAACAGCAATAATAACAAGGAAAATAACAAACAATAACGATGGAGCGAATTTACTTGAGAGTTTTGCAATTAAAATTTAATTGCCAGTGAATTGTAATGGAGCGTGTTCAAAAAAGGGTAGCCGTTGAAAAAGTCACACTTTTGTGGGAGACACACTAATTGGCCATTAAATGATTAACATTTTAATGCAAATATGTTGATATTATATATATTTTTATGAGAGAACTTGGCACCTTGAAGGCAGTGGATTCTGGAGAAGCCTATAAATATTTAAGAAATATATAATTATTATGATTATATTTTGGCCTTCTCCGTTGGCTGCTTTGCGGCTTTAATCGCTTCTTTTTTGATGTGAGCGAAACCCGTTTGCTTGAGCTGAAGATTTCGTTTTATATCGCTTTATCTACGAGAGAAACACACAAAGCTACAGCGATACTTCAGAGATACAAAGATACAAAGACACACAGATACAGGTACAGGTGCACAGTCGATACCTGTGTGTGCGAATTGTTATTATTTGTCTGCGTCTTTTAACTACGAATCATGTGCACATGGGTTATGTAACCGCACAATCGAGTATCTTATTACGCGTCGCCGGCATTGGGAGACTTCTACTTGTGACTTGGACTTGGTAATCCGTTAAATCTGCTAAATCTAGGGAATCCAGGGGGTCTTCTGGTCTACTGGTGAAGAGCTCGAAGTGTCCATGACCATGATTACCTAAACTTTGGCAACATAATCAAAGGGTTCAGGTAAACAGGACATCAGATGACCGAAAAAGTTAGCCAATTAAAAGCTACGATGTTTACATTACCAAAACTTTTCAAAAGCAATCAAAATGAAGTTAAATAGTACCGAAAATAAGCTTCAATTCTTGAATTGACCAGGTTCAAAAACATACATTAAGTTTTTTTAATAATTTAAA